TAACCCCATTTTTGTGATTTTTTCGATTTTTACCATAATAATCATGATTCATTCGATTTGTAACCAGTCATGTATTGTAAAAAATTTAATTACAAACATTTTTTTCCTCTTCCATTTTCGCCTAAAATCAACTCTTAAAAAGATACATAATTAAATAGGAAGAAAAATATGACATTTTTTCAATTTTTTTAACATATTGTGCCGTCAAAAGTTAAGCCCACGTTTTCTTTTATGCGCATAGAAAAATTTTCATTTCTAGTGATATTTGAAAGCCAAAAAGCCAAAAATCTCCGTGGATATACGATTCACCCAAATATGGCTTTTTGAAACAGATACTATGTACTTTATAACGTATCCATTTCAGACTGTCACAAATTTCACTTTTAAAATTTGGTATACTATGTTCCTCTAGACCCTTATAGGCATATGTATCTCACCTTTTGTTGACACTTTCTAACCTTTTTTCCACATACTTAAAATAAGATCTATTGTTTTTTATTTTGTTTATATTTGTTCTGGTAACCCTTAAGGAGGTTTATCTGGATTTGGAATTGACGAACAAATATTCATAAAAAATATTAATATAAGCTTATCGATATGAAGAAAATCCTCAAAAAAAATATGACTAGTTCGGATTTTTCACGATTTAGTAGTCTTATGAGAATGTAGATTTTTTTAATCTTTCCACTTAGAATGCGCAACAATTGATGAACACTTTCCGCAGCAATTTGTATAAATAGGAAACCGATATTTAAGAAACCGTATGACAGCTTGTAGAAATCGATTGTACATAATTTATAATAATTCTCCTAACTGCTGTCGTTGACTAACTTATCCTCCATATGCGTGATAGCGGCAACGCCGCTGTCTCGACGTAGCGTATTATTTGAAATTCGCAGGTGTCCAAACGAACAGAATGATCGAACGGGAGCGAGCGAATGCCGATGCGAGCGCGTCAGCCAAGTACAACGTTGGCAAATCTAAAGGCTTACTATTTTAGTCACTAGCGAATCTACAGAAACTTTCGTTAGACTTTAGAGGCACCTCCGTACCCGATAAACCTCCTTAAAGGTGAGACGGTAGGTCAACCTAAAATCAATCTTCGATTACTATTGTAATAGACCTTTTTAGTAGTGACGTCACATCCGCCAAATAGTAGGCAACCCCATAGTTCACATTGTGATAAAAATCACTCAATATTTTTACTAGATCGATTTTCGACCACAAGGTACATACCTTGTGGTGCCAAAAAATGGCTTCTTTGTCATAACCTTAAATATCGCGATATTTCAAACCTCAAGTGACAAACTAATAGAATTATAGAATTTATATATTTAAATTTATAGAACAATTAAAATTATATCAATGTTACTGAGCATGCGCATTAAAGATAATTTCATGTAAGCGAAGTAGCCTCGCAACAGGATATAATTCAAGAAAAGTTTGGTTGTGGTTAATAGTACGTCTATAATAAACCACTTGAAGAAAAAACACTCGATAAACACTCCACAGTACAACACCTAGAAAAACAATAAAAATAGTTAGTTGAACTAGAAAATGCCAATATTAAACAAAACAAGAGAAAATACGCTAATGATGAGCATGAGCATTAGGAATAACACGGCTAATGTTAAATTTTTACTTTACTTAAATTTAGGAATATTCTTTTATATCGTATTTTTTATCTCTATGTAAATAGTACACAAGGGCCAGGGTCATTTGGTATGTACAATTTCAACTATGACGATTTGTTATGGGTTGCCTAAATACGTGACGTCACAGTAAAAGGGTCTATTGTCTATATTAGAGCACCATGTGCGTTCTTACACTTTTCAAATGAAATAGTTAGATTCTTTAATTAGATCTGTAATGATGACTATGAGGATTAAGAGGTATTTTTTCTTAATTTATATTACAAAAGTACATCATCGATATTACTCTCTACTACAGCTAGTTTATACTGCTAAGGTCTAAATAGTAATATTGAGTATACAATTACTCAACAGTAATTGATTTATTTTACAGATTAATTTTTACCTCAGGAGATTATTCCTTCTTTTTAGATAAAAAAAACTAATGAACCAAGGATCTAAAGCCAAAATATTTTTGGATTAAAATAGATGATCTTTTCTTCATGTAGGTGTACATCATTCCGAATGCACATTTTCAATTTCCAAACCCTTATGGACGTCAAAATTTTGAGTTTCTTGGGTTCCTAGTGTCCTGTAGCACCTTCACCATTATTTAGTCTTAACTTCTAGCCTCCCTAACTCTGTTAATTTTAATAGTACAAGAAAAAGTCAAGAAGGTTTGATTACAAGAAATGTTTACTGTTAATTATTTAAATTATTATTAATCTAAGTTTCACCAATCTATATGAAACTTCTTCAAATACATTTATAATACATATTACACTCTTCTGGCATGGATATAGAAAATACCTAGTATATTCAACAAAAAAGTTTACTTCGTTATTTCAAAGTGATCCGGAATTGTACGTTTTTGAGTGATTGTGGCCTGCAAATAAGGAAACTCATATAATGTGTACAACTAATTTAAACCTTATTTTTGAATTTGTTCATTGTGGTTTATGAGTTTACCACTTTCAAAATAAATGGTCCTTATTTTCCTTAGATGAAGCTTCTATATCAGTGGCAACACTATACATTCCTTCATGTTTTTGTTTTAAATTATTATGTAATTTTACAAATCTTCAATAAAAGAAAAATGTTCCTTTTCTTAAAATTGTTAGGTAGAAATTTTTCAATTGAGTTCTTACACCACATATATCTTTTTTGAAGTAATTTGTGAGGAAAAGAAAAACGCGTGTTCATTCCTAGCAAAAAGAGGTACGTGCATATGACACTTGTATTTAAATAAAATCAGAACTGTTTAGTACCAAATTATTTTATTTATTCTATCTAAATCGTTATATTATTGCTGTTATAATTTATTTTCTGTTCTAATAATCTTCTGGAAGAAGTTCCCAAGAGCCAGCTGGTGGAGCACTGGCTTCTGGTGCGATTGGGATGGGGATGGGTATAATTTCTACTTCTGGAGCCACTGGAATGGGCAGAGGTCTTACGTCAGTTTCTGGCGCTACTGGGATTGGGATAGGATTAACTTCAACCTCAGGAGCTACTGGGATAGGTAGAGGTCTGATATCCTCTGGCACGATTTCAGGAAGTGGTCTACCAATTTCTGGTACTTCTGGTTCAAGTTCGACTTCTGGTAGTTCAGGATGTACTGGAATTTCTGGAACGGCGACTTCTGTGAGTTGGTCAATGAGGGCAGTCATGTATTGGAAACAAGCGTCACATGGATTGATCACACCGAGTTCTGGAATGACAGCTTCTACATCTGGAATTGGAAGGGGTTTGGCTTCTGGAAGGGGAATGGTCTCGGTTTCTGGAAGGGGCATAGGTGCCGGAAAGTTACCAATACCAGCCTGTAAGCCTGAAAAGAGAATGAATTTTTATTAATGTATATTTATATATGTATATGTTCTAAAGTTAATGTTTTAATTTAGCAAAAGTGTAAAATATTAATTGATGTACATACACATTCTTGTATTGTATTTTCCAGTATACACGTTTTTCAGGAAATGGTGAGCAATCTCTCGGTTTTAGATAGCATGCATAAAAATAGAATTTATTGTTAAATACGTTTATCTCGAAAAGATTCTTTACGTCAATAACAAACATTTTTTTAGGGACAAGACTGCTGATGGTGCTCTGGCTTCTGGCCTCCAAAGTAGTTATCAGTAAACTGAATACATTGGTAGAAATAGTTAGAAATAATATAGCTTTTTCCCAGTGATTATACAAATTTGATGAGACACAAGAAAGCTACAACAAAAAATAGATTTTCATCCCTCAACTTAAAATTCAAACTCATATTTCCCAGAGATTGCCCACCATTTCTTGGACACCCTGTACTATATTACAAATTCGTTTCTAATGCATATACAAACCTATCTAAAAATACTTTTTATATTTATTTTATGCTTACCAGGTGCGAACACTAAGGCAATCACAATAATAGCGAATCTCCTCATTTTTCTTATTTAGTTGTTGGTTGTTACAAGGCTTGTGATCACTTAATAAGGTAGCAGCTTATATACGCTACATGCCTTATCTGTTTTCTTATCGTAATCCTTATTATCCTTTTCGGTTCTACCTAAGACAAGTTGCAGTAAAATAATTGCCAAATTTAACATTGGTTTATATTAAAAAAAGTTTTTTAGGGCAGCCGCCATACGTGATTTGTTTTTATATAATAATAAATTCGTCACTGACAGAATTACATTAAAATTAACACATTTTTAACAATTAAAAGAACCAGGCGAAAATTTTCAAATTTTGAAGGTCAATCGGCTTTAAATGAATCTGGAAATTTTTAGTTGCATTTGCAATATTACCGAAAAACACGTTCGCGAGGATTTCAATTTAGATTTTATAAAAAATAGAAATATTAGTTTCGCTTGTAGACTTAACGCGAACATTAACGCGACCATATATGTATGTTTCAAAAAAGCTTCATGGTTACGACAGCCTCGCGTGACGTTCCCAAAATTGTTAAATCTCTCCTTATTCCACACGCCCGACATTACACGCACAATTAAACACGGAATATAGAAAAGTTTTTTTAAATAAACACTTCCACATAACCACTTATACTCAGAATACCATTCATTCCGAAACTTCCGAGCGTACACATTGTCTTTTGACTTTTTTCCATATCGAGAGAATAAGGCACAGGTCTCTCGCAATTTAAAAAATACTTTCGTTCTCAATTTTTCATCTGGAAAATGGCATTTCCAACAAAATACATACTGGGCCATACATAGAAAACATTTCTACAATTATTATACAAAACAAATATTAACAAATAACAATGCTGCTTCAATTTCCGCGTGACTCGTTCCCCCACGCCGTAGTTTACTCCCGTGTTAGCCGCCTCGTTTGCATGACAACCGCCGTAAACAACGCTACGAAGGAAAGCGGAATACAGACTGATTTCGATCCGCGTCACTTGCTTATACTATACGTTGTTAGAATTATATATAAATTATAAAATTTATATAAAATTGAAATTAATTCTAGATTGCACGACCAAGCGGAAATTTTAGGTGAAGTGGTGCGCCACTTGCGTTACCTGGCGAGCCGCCACTGAATTACAGTGATGGTATAAAATCATTAAAAAAAANACTGGTATAGAAATAGTATGCCAGCCAGTGACTTACAAAGCACTGTATATAGTTAACTTAAAAGCACTGTATATAGTTAACTTAAAAGAACTGCTTGGGCAACAAATAGAAGTTTTACTGGAATACCTGTTGCATTTTATTGATTAATTTATTTGGTATTAGGCCTCTCATCCGCCAGGCCGGATATAGAGTTAAGCAACTACCCTATCTTCGTTGGTGATACATTGGAGGAGGAGGTATCCAGGCCACGTCCCGTACCAACTTTTCCAGAATTCGCCCCTGAGATTAATCCAGATTTCGAACTTGAACCAGTTTCGGAGAACGAGGAAGTGATCCCGCCGATACTTATCAGCCTAAACCCATGCGATGCCTGCTTTGAGTACATGACCGCCCTTATTGACCAACTCACCGAAGTCGCCGTTCCAGAAGTACCAGAAGTGGGAAGGCCTCTTCCTATCCCTAATCCAGGTGGTGAGCTCAGACCACTTCCTCTTCCAATTTCACCAGAAATTGATACCAGACCCTTACCCGCGCCAATTCCGTCTGAGGCTGAAGCCGAGGAAGTTCTTGCCAACCAAAATAGACCACTTCCAACCCACATAATCAGATAGTAAGCCTAATGCTTAGCTTATCTCCTGAGAATACAAATTCTTTATAGTTCTGTAAAGAATGTTGTTTGACATTTTATAGTACCTAATAGTTTTCATGTTTTCAGTAATAAAGGTGTATATTTATTAATCGTACTATGTATTATTAAAAAATAAATAATTTCTTACAATTCCTTTTAAAATAAAAGCTTATTTCTCTTTATTTCGCATTGACTTTAGTATGCACTGCCGGTTCAAAACATATTGTACATTGTTTCAATTATGTACAGTCTACAGCTTTATTAATTGAATAGGTACATCTTTTTCATTTTATATTGTGGGTCTACTATATCTTTAAATATATTATCTATGAGTTATACTTAGAAATACCCATATAGCATACAGGGTGTCCCGAAATTCATGCAACAAAATTTGGTCACAGATTCTTAAGACAAATTTAGGGGACCCGTATTTTTTATTTTTGCCAAGTGACCCCCTCTTTCGGAGTTACAGCCTCCTGAAGTCCGCCCCTAAGAATAATCTTTTTTTTTATATCTCAGAACCCTGTTATACGAGAATCACTAAATTCGGTACACAGGGGTTTTATGACATGTGGAATCGTGTGATGCTACGTTTTTTGGCGGGGAACCACCTTAAGACAATTTTTCGTGGCCCCCCTTGTCTTTGGAGCCAAAAAAATTTGTTCACATATTTAAATTTCTTAAAAATTATTATCATTCCACTAGAAAGCCATTAAATTTAGAAACTTTTTGTCTCTTTATACTTTTTTCGTAAAACGCAATGTTTCGAGAAAAATGTCAAAATGTGATCGAATGCATATCGTGATTCGCCATTTTCCTAAAAAAACATTGCGTTTTTCGAAACAAATATCAAGAGACAAAAAAGTTTCTAAATTCAATGGCTTTCTAGCCAACTAATAATTAAAAAAAATCAAATTTGCGATCAAATTTTTCTGGTTCCAAAGACAAGGAGGGCCACGAAAAACTGTCTTAAGGGGTTTCTCGACAAAAAGCGTAGCACTGTGAAATTCCACGTCATAAAACCCCTGTGTACCAAATTTAGTGATTCTCGTACAACATGGTTTTGATATATAAAAAAGACTTCTTAGGGGCAGATTTCAGGGGGCAGTAACTCCGAAAGAGGGGGCCAGTTGGCAAAAAGAAAAAATACGGGTCCCCTGAATTTGCCTTAAGAATCTATGATCAAATTTTGTTACAAGAATTTCCGGACACCCTGTATATTCAAATTATTATTCTCGGCAGCATCCCTATCTGTATTCTCATTAAAACAAAATCTCCATTATTAAATTCAACTTGCGTTGGTATTTGACTCTTCATTTGAATTTATTTTTTAGGGCATTAGTCTTAACGCAGGTCTTTTTATTTGTTCTTATTTATATCTTCTTCAACTTACCTTGCGTTTTTTAAATTTCTAATACATTGAATTAGTGCATCCCGATGGCCGACTTTTACTTTGTATACTTGTACCATCTTTCATAATACTGTTAGACCAGGCGGTATCTGTTTTGGCTTGGGTGAATCGTATATCCACGGAGATTTTTGACTTTTTGGCTTTCAAATATCACTAGAAATGAAAATTTTTCTATGCGCATAAAAAAAAACGTGGGCTTTTAACAATATGTTAAAAAAATTGGAAAAATGTCATATTTTTCTTCCTATTTAATTATGTATCTTTTTAAGAGTTGATTTTAGGCGAAAATGGAAACGNACAAATTCAATCGAAACTTTGGTGATGTCAACAAACATCGAACTTACCCTCATCAAACCCACTGTTTATAAATGAAGTCAACTTGTCTATTGCAATTGTATTGACATAATACTTCTAAAACCGAACTGATTGGGACTGGAGGGATTGCCATTTTCTAGATATACAAGAAGTTGGTTTTTTAAAGATATTTGTAGCTTTAGAGTGTTTGAGACAACCAGGAAAAATATTCTGGGGCAGACATAGATTAAATAGCTTAGTAAGGGGAAATATAATTTGACTCGTCAAGGAGAAGGAACAAACTTTATCATTTACAAAATACTACACTGCTCTAACTTGTAAAATAATATTTAATTTTTAAATTTACACTGCGCCTGTTTTTTATAAATATGGACATTTTGGTGAATATTCATGTGTTATTTTTTTCAAAATATACAAAAATATATCAAAAAATTAGATATTAAATTTTTAGTAAGGTGCTGACCGTACCTACGACATTCATTACTAAATTATTTGAACTTCTTATTTTCCTAGTGGTTGGTTCTGTCCCATAGCACCACGGCCTTATAAGGCTTATTGTGCGCCCCACTACTTAATCCTATTCAGCAAGTTTTGTCATTTTTTGACAAAGTCCAAAAACTTCCTTGTTGGCACTTCTCTCAGCTCCTTGGGTTCTAAATATGGTCTCCCCAGGAGCATCATTCTACTACGTGCATTCGCCTAGGATATGCAAACAAGTTTTCTCTGGCGAGTCACATCCTTAGCAGACTGGACTGTCTACAAGCTTCAGCTTATGTAGATGTCTCCTAAAGTGACAGTGTCCCGTTATGAGTCCCGTCACTCTCCTGAGCCGAATTTTATTCAAGCTCAGCAACTCATTTGCTCTTTCATTCAAAGGATATTCCATGAACTCCTTAGAATGGCTATACCCTGGCCTTGAAGTCCAGTATTTCCTATATTCTACCTCAGTCCATTCGCTTAGAGCCGGTCTTAATATTATTTGAACACTCATAACTAAATTATTTTTTCGTTACTCATTTTTGAAATACTTACCAATCCTTGGGAGTGCATATTTGAAAACATAATCGAACAAAGGTTATATAAACTTTCTGCATATTGTGTAATTTACGATCAATCCTATGTAGTATTTGTTTTTGGTCTTTTGAGTATATTTAAATAAACTATAAGTTCATATTTATGTTGTGAAAAACTATTATTAAATTTTTAAATAGCTTTATTGAATTATGCATGATTTATATCGCATTATTCATTTAAGACTGTGCCCATATCATATATCATTATATCATTAATAAAATTCGTTCATTCATAAATGTAGCAATTAAATTCATATCGGCAATAATCGTAATCATACAATATTTTGATAATGGCAAATTAATGACTAATATTTATTTTACAAGTTTCTTCCTACGTCTTATCAAAAACATAAACTGACTCGTCATATGTATTTGATAAGATGGCTCTATATGATGACGTCCCTTACCAAAAATATATGTAGATTATTTGGCTAAATATTATTTGGCTAATGTGGCTATACAG